CCAAAAAAAGCCAGAGGGTGATCAGGCAGTCATTTCCACAGATAATGGCTCATTTTTCTTACACCACAAATTCACCAGAAATAGAAAAGACAGGGAAAAAAGGATGAAGGTAAGGCAGGAGGACAGTAGCAAAACAACAACAACAACAACAACAACAACAACAACAACAACAACAACAACAACAACAACAACAACAACAACAACAACAACAACAACAACAACAACCAGGCATGCATTTCTAGTTTGTTATTATTTTAGCAACCTGTTTGCAAAATCACCAATTTTTGTTAATTTTCAAGGACAATGCAGCTGGTGGAGGTCTCAAAAGATTGGCCTAACCCAGGACACTGAGCTGGCTCCTATTTTGTTCAACATTTACATCAGTGACCAACCACTTTCTCAAGGCACCCAAAGTTTTATCCATGCTGACGATCTCATGCTGATCAGTCAGATAGCTTTCAGATGATAGAGCATCAACATGTTAGGATAATTTGGTGCATATTATGGAAGAAATCAACTTAAACCCAACTCTACAAAGAATTAAGTATGTGCCTTCCATCTGAGGAACTAAGCAGACACTCTAGAAACTTCAGCTTATCTAGAAGGGCATCAACTAGATCATTGTTTGCCCTCCAATACCTAGGTATTACTTTGGGTTGTATGCTGATTAGGGATGGGCATGAACCACCAAACCAGCGGTTCATGCTAGTTCATCCTTTGGCCAAACAGTGTTCAGCACTTCCCAGCCCTGCCTCCTCTGGCGGGCACCCACTCAGAGGTAGTGACCTCTTGCCATATATCACTGGGAGTATAATGCCTCTTGGTTATTGATTTTATGAATACATGCTGGCTTTGGCATCCAGTAATGATGCCATCGAGTGCTATATGTACCTGTTTTGCATAGGCTCAACTGGGCTGTTGTAGTCACTCGTGAAATAGCACAGGGCCACTTCACATCAGACCAGTTGATCCCAAACACTAGTGTATTTCTTAGATTTTATAGTTGAGTGCTCCAACTGGTTCCCGATAGTCTTTAAAGAGCATTGTTCCTTGCTGATACCTTTTGCTTTGTATTTTGCCAGTGTTTTTAATAGATTAGCATTAGAGATGGGCATGAATTCCTGAACCAGCAGTTCATGCCACTTTGTCCTTCAGCTTCTTTGCCTCACCTCTATGACTTTGTGTGGAGGTGGTCTGTGACTAGATTTCATGGGCACAGGAGCAGAAGGTGCACTTCACAGCTGACCTTTGGAGTGGAGGTCACCAGGGATACCTCTCACTCACACCCGATTGGTGGGAGCCTCTGCTCATTGTATATCCTCAGTAGGGACCCACAGAGGGCCAAAGGGATGTGGAAGTAGACCCTTCCAGTGTGCCCCAGTTCACCTGCACATAGTATTATACCATGACTGTTCTGGCTGATTTTATTTTCAAATTTTTATCCAGTGTTAGCACTGGGAGGAGAAACACCTTGAGGCCATCTTGTGAAGCTTTAGCTTCTGTTGAAAGAATGTAAGGGTGGTGGCAATGCACAGATCACCCAAGTAGTTCGTAAAGTTGAAGAAACTACGCGTGACAGGTGGAGGGCTATTTCTCAACAGGATTTTTAAAGGTAGAACTGCGCTCTTAAGCCTTTTCATTCCCAATCCAATTCTAACCATTGAAAGGAAACAATGGAGAGTAGTTTCACAAGAGGTAGCCGTGTCAGTCTGTGCAAGCATAGCAGGCAAAATCCAAAGAAAATAAACAAAACAGAACAAAACAGAAAAAGCAGGGAAAACATTCACTGTGATTCTGTGTCTACCACCATGATTAGATACCTCAAAGATCCTCTTGTTATATAACTCTGGAATTATGCTCCCTTATTGAAAAAGAAGCAAAGGGTTACATTCATTCAGAAGTACGAGTACTTGTAAAACAGGGTAAAATAAGCTTAGGTATCTGTGAATCTATGTATATAGGATAAAACAATAGTAATTCTCAACCAATAGTGCACATTCCACTGGCAGAGCTTTGATTATGGGGTTTACCAAGTAGTCACCCTCCTACAACACCTTTGTTCTCCTGCAAGTTTTTTGTGCTATGCCATAGCAACCATGCCTAGTGTGTATTTTGCATCAGTGGCCTTTAGGCATACTGGTAGTAACTTTGAATGCACCACTGTTTCTCATAATACCAACTACGTATCTTAAAGTAAACGATGAATTAAGTAATAAAAGGACTGTAAACATAGCAGCATCTTTCTCAGATGTGGAGGGATTCAGATTCTTTCACAGAACCATTAGTGGTGGTGCTGTGGGTTAAACCGCTGAAGCCTCTGTGCTGCAAGGTCAGAAGACCAGCAGTCATAAGATCGAATCCACACGACGGAGTGAGCCCCCGTCGCTTGTCCCAGCTCCCGCCAACGTAGCAGTTCAAAACCATGCAAAATGCGAAAATGCGAGCAGATAAATAGGTACCACCACGGTAGGAAGGTAAATGGCGTTCCGTATCTAGTCACGGTGGCCATGTGACTACGGAGGATTGTTTGCAGACAAATGCTAGCTCTATGGGTTGGAAACGGGGATGAGCACTGCCACCTAGAGTCAGACACAACTGGACAAATTGTCAAGGGGAACTTTTACCTTTTTACAAGAAGAAAAATTGAGAACCCATATGACCCTTGTAAATGACAAGGTGTAAAAAGGTAAAGATAAAGGAAAACTACATACAAATATTGAAGTATTACTGAAGCTAGAAAAAGGGAGTGGATGCAATAAGTTAAAATACTCTTGATAGTAGCGCTTCTTTGGAATTCACCTTGCCTACATTCCTGACCACCCTACTTCTCTCCAGCAGTGCTATTCACAGCTGTAGCTGAAGATCCCTTCAAATTTGTTTTAACCAGAGCCCTCGGTTTCCAAAAGTTGGCATAAATTGGGGGAACTAATTTAGATAATTGATCATCTATTTAATCATCTAACCACCAGAATCCAATGGACTGCAATACAGTGGCATAAGAACTCCATCAATATAAATTTCAGCACAAAATTGCTGCAAATTCAGAAGTCGGTATCTATTTATGCTGTTGGGTGTTGTCACAGAATTGCTGTGCAATAACAAATACCTATGCTGACTACTTGCAACAAGCTGAGATTTTCAATAAAGTTGTTGTTCCAGGGGTAATTAATAATGTAATTAATATGATTCCACCAAATATCAGCAAAGCAGTGATGTCTATAAATATTATGCACCATACTGTTTTTTAAAGAAAAATGGCAAATAAACTTTTTTGCACCACTCTATAGTGCAAAATATTGGCATAATTTTTATCACTGATTACATTACGGCAGTTCTGGTGTGAATCTGCATATTGTTAACTACATCTCAGTGTTACCAATAGGGGAAATCTGTGGAAGGCCAGCACTGATTTATATGGTGCCAACAGAAGTCCTGCATTCACCCCTATAGTACTCCAAGAACTGCTCCCTCTAGCATTGATAACAACCCCATGCTCACTGGGGAGCAAACACATCGACTGAGAAATTCTTTGGTTGCCATCTGGAGAGAACGAGCAGTCAGGTTGCGACAGCCCTGCCATGTGGATGCATGCTGCATCCCCCACCATAAGAAATGGCTGAGGAACAGTCACTTGTATCACCCATGCACTTGCTAATTTACCTGCATCCATTTCGCGCCCCTGCTTGCTCCCAGATGAGCTGACTTGGAGTTTTTAGCCAGATGTCAAGTTTATCTGGTTGTGTTCCGCTTTTTGTGCTGGACTAGAAAAGAACAGGCTTTCTCCCTCCCAAGTCTACTTGCAACAGTCAGCTATTATTGCACTGAGTGTATCAGATTTGTCACAACGGGGGGAAAACCAGTGTACATCCCAGTTAGAACGTGTAAGTGTCCATTATTAACATGCTTCCTCAGCTCTCTAATGCTGTTCACCTTCTCAAGAAGCTGCAAGGGGATTCTCCTGTTATGCTGGCCAGCCTTATGGGCTGGGAGACAGGGGAAAGGGAACCCTTAGATCCGAATGCAACAAACATTTATAGAGCTGAAGAGATATGACTCAGGAAGGTGTCTCTCAAGACCTAAAGATACAGTCAAAGAGCTGACAGCAGCCATTGGACTGAGGCCCAGGATAGCCTCATAAGAGTAGTACAAGAAACCCACACAACTGGTGTAGTTGAAGATCTTTGTGGTTGATGGCTGCTAAGGCTAGAACTGGAGTTTACTTAATATAATTAACTTTCACCTTTATTTCTGGGCGTAGTTGCAAGAACTCATTTGATAGTCTATTCTTAAGGAGGGATGCTAAAACGTGTCTGAAAGATGGTTGCTTCTGATATCACTATATGTTTTAAGCCTTGGGATGGTTTCCAAATGTGGTAGAGCAGATTCATCACTAGTCTTATGCAAAACTATCAGCTCTTTCTGCCAACTTTTTATTTAAAGCAAATTAAGGAGTATGGCACACTGAAAGTGGGGCAGCAGTGGTGTGAGGCATTAAATGGCAAAGCTCTTTGTGGGAAAGACTTCATACGTTGGATGTAAGAAATACAGAATTATAGTACATACTGTATAGAGCATGATAGAAGTAAAACATTATGATGATAAAGTTACCCATACTCAAGCCTCTATTAGAGCAGAGAGACATAATTTGCACAGCACAAACCTCTCCACAAGAAGAAGTAGTTTGATACACTGATGCATCTTGCAGCACATCCAGAATAACCAACAAAATACTGTGCAGATTTACTTAATATAAGGTGAAGCAAGAAGAAGCATGAGCAGGCATGACAGAAGGGCGAGTGGTGCGGTATTAGGGTGGAGAGGAAGCAGAGCCCAGAACAGGAGGAGGCAACCATGAAAGAGAATGCCTTGAGCAAAGGATGATAAGAAAGATGTGGGCTGTTGCTACAGGTGTATATAAAGCTGTCTGGCAGACTTTCCTCAGTCCTCCATGGCATAGATTAGTTGGAAATTCTCAGTTGAGGACTTTGTTGGCAGCGAGAATGCCTCCACAGTCAGGTGCTACGGTGGAGAAGCCAGAACCTGGACAACTTTTCACCTGGGATGAGATAGGGCTCCACTCAGGCAAGGGGAACGCTAAAGAAAAGAGGTGGCTTGTCATCAACAGGAAAGTCTATGACATCAGCCAGTTCCACCAGCGGCACCCTGGAGGCACACGTGTTATCAGCCACTATGCAGGACAAGATGCCACGGTGAGACCTTATTGCGGGGTCATCAGCAGTTGGGGAACCCCATGCTTTTAACAGCAGAGCTCTATGATTTGTATGCCTGTAATCTGGCCCTTGGCATCTGTGGTTACCTGCAAGGATTTTTGATAGCCGGTCTTCAGAGACATCTGCTTGGTTCCTTCAGCCAGATGTAACAGATACACCTGGGCTAAATGGACAACGATCTGGCATTAATCAGGCTCGCACAGTCATTCATGGGGTCCATTTGGCAAATCTCCATAATATTCGGCTTGAGTATATTACAAGCCGAATATTACAAAGAAGAGGGACATGGTGGCGCTGTGGGCTAAACTGCAGAAGCCTGTGCTGCAGGGTCAGAAGACCAAGCAGTCGTAAGATCGAATCCACGCGATGGAGTGAGCGCCCGTTGCTTGTCCCAGCTCCCGCCAACCTAGCGGTTCGAAAGCATGCAAATGCGAGTAGATAAATAGGTACCATCTCGGTGGGAAGGTAAACAGCGTTCCGTGTCTAAATCACACTGGCCATGTGACCACGGAAAGATTGTCTTCGGACAAACGCTGGCTCTATGGCTTGAAGAGCGGGATGAGCGCCACCCCCTAGAGTCGGACACGACTGGACAAAAATTGTCAAGGGGAACCTTTACCTTTACCTTTACCTATATTACAAAGATTTAAAACAAGGGGAGAAGGGCCTGAAAGAAAAGAACACTTCATTCCAAAAACAGCAACTCCAATTTCAGTTATGCTTTGGAGCACATAGACTCTTTAAATCCGCTCCCGGGGGCAAAAAGCAGCACAATTGTGCAGGATTACACCTTCAAGGTGTAACCGCATCATCTTTAATTGAGCATCATAATTATTGCCTCTAAAGTAACTGAATAATTTTCTAAAAGAGTTTAGATAATACATGTTATGAAACTAGATGAAACCTGTGAGATTCCTCCCAAGATTCTCTTTGTCCTTCTATCCCTGTTCCTTCCGTGCTCCTTCCTCCCACACTTCTACAGTAGTTCCCTTTCTCCTTTGGCTTCTCTTTGGGTGCCACCAAACAGAGGGTTGCTCTAGCTTCCAGTTAAATGTCATTGGGCAGCTAATTCATCTTTTTCCCTTGACGGATTCCTCTGTCAAGAAAAAGATGGAAGAAACAATACAGAGAAACATGGGAGAGCTGCCAACCAAGGAGGCTGTTGTCTGAACCACCTATAAAGTCCACGAACGATGAAGTGCCCATTAAAAGCCTTGCCTAGCAGGACCCTTTCCTTCTCCTGCCATCAGCCCTGTGACTTCACCTTGCTTCCTCTTCTTCCAGGTTAAATATCGTTTCCCAGGCAGTTTAAATGACTCTCATTCTATTTTTTTTATCTGTTGAACACTCATACCAACTGTCCAAGAAACTTCCAAAATCTCTCAAACAGACCCAGAATTGCATAGCACTGAAATTATTTTCCAGCTGAAAATAAGATCACTTGTTTGTCAGGCCTGTTGCCTTGGCTGTGGTCTTCTCTCTTTCACCCTCAGCACTTTTGTTTGTTTCTTAGGATGCCTTCTCAGCTTTCCACAAAGACAAAGATGTAGCAAAGAAGTACTTGAGCTCCTTGCTAATTGGAGAACTGGCTCCAGATCAACCCAATTGTGAACCTGCCAAAAATGTGAGTTTTCCCACCATTAGAAGCAATATGTAAAGGGAAAATAGGCTGATGTGTAAGAATTGTCCTCAAATACTCAGTGTGTGCTGTAGCTGAGCAACTGTATTTGGTACAGAAGGTGGCACAGAAAAACCAGGGCTGCCTCACAACCTTAGTGCTCAATCTTTAAATTTTTAAAGCTATTTGACCAATTATGTCACTTGAGGCTCCAGAACCTCAATATCCCAAGTGACTAAAATATAGCAAGATATTGTCTCCAAAACAACTTCAGTTGAGAATTCACCCAAATACAGCTTGATCTTTGCATTTGACTGGAAGCACTGAATGTTTGGATACTAAACTAAGTTACCATTTCTGGTTTACGTGGGATAAACTAGAAAATATACAGAGTACATTTTTAGAGGAGAAATTCCTTCAAGTGGGGAATGAAGTTTGTTTCTCACCATACATCATTTTCAGGCATTGAAGGTGCTTCGTTGTAGTGTGTGCTTACATTTAGTGTATGTCCCTGAAAGTTAAACTTGGGCTTAATTTATAAGTCTCTGAGGAAATTCTATTGCCAGAGTGAAAATGTGTTTACCAGAGAGAGTCCTTACAAATGCAAAAACAGGCGATATCTTTATAGACCACTAAAAAGTCACCATAGAATTCATGAGCTTTCATGGATTAAAACACACTTCATCAGGTTTGTACCAGTGTGAAGAACTTAAAAGCCGAAATGTATGATGGGGTTTGCCAGGCACTTTGCTCTTGGATGTACAGTGGGGTCTTGACTTGAGAACTTAATCCGTATTGGAAGGCGGTTCTCAAGTCAAAAATTCTGTAGGTCAAGTCTCCATTGACCTACAGTGCATTGAAAACTGATTAATCCCGTAACAGGCCGTTTTTGTTCCATTTTGGTTTTTTTTTTCTGGTCTGTAAGTCACTTCTCAGGCTGCAAGTCAAACCTAAATTTTGCAGCCAGAGAAGTCTGTAACTCAAAAAGTCTGTAAGTCGAGCCGTCTGTAAGTCAAGGGTCCACTGTAAAGTCCAAATAAGTTCTTTGCAAGCTGGAAATTGCCAGGCGTGTCTCTCTTAGATGTCTCTCTTTGATGTGCAGTAAGTCTGGAGACAGGCTGCTGTTTTATGGTTACAGCTTAGGCATTTGTGTATTGAGTATAACATTGAGGTGATTGAGGTGGATGTAGGCATGTGACCTGTGCTTCTTTGTTTGGAGAACTGGGTTGTTACACTTAATCCACAAATGCCTAAGCTATAACCAAGAGATACATCTAAGAGAGACACACCTGGCAATTTCCAGCTTGCCAAGAACTTTTTGGACTTTTCATCCAAGAGCAAAGTGCCTGACAAAACCCATCATGCCATGTACATTTGGATTTTAAGTTCTTCACACTGGTGTAAACCTGATGAAGTAGTTTTTGATCCATGAAAGCTTGTGTATTATATGAAAATTTTTGGTGGTCTATAAAAGTATCAACTAATTTTGCATTTGTATTTTATTTTGTTTAGACCACATGGCTAACCTTTACTTCAGATCCCCTTAGTATCCTGTCTGAACACACTTCTGGCTAGGTGGGTATTCGTTGCCACTGTGGTCCTGACCTTTGTAGAGGAACGTTGGAACATGTACACCCAAACTTGAGAGAACTTAGCTGTTCGCCCTTCTCACAGGAAATGCTGACAAATGATTTCCATGAGCTGCGTGCGACTGTGAAGAAGATGGGACTTCTGAAGCCCAGTTACCCATTCTTCCTCTTCATGTTTCTCCATGCTGTCCTGCTGGACATCACAGCCTGGTTCACTATCTGGTACTTTGGAAAATCCTGGACACCCTTCCTCCTTGGTGTGGCATTTTTCGTCATTGCACAGGTAATCTTCTTCAGCATCTACTGAAGTACTTAGCTGTTTGTTGTTTCATAATAATCTCCCTAACCCAAAGTGCTAGTGGAATTTTAGACTCTTCAAGAAGGTTTTTATAAAATAAATTAGAACATCAGTACTATTGAATCTGTCATATAAAAGCAGTCAACGCAGTTCTGGGGGCAGTACAAGCAGGAGTTTGTGCTGAAGGTTTTGTAGGAAAGCAGAGTAGTCAATTACTCAAGACAGCCAATGTGCTGCCTGGATGAAGGGACACATTGCCTACAGTAATTCCAGTGTTGTTGCCTTTTGCCTTCCAGATTCAGTATGGATTCCTTCAGCATGATCTCGGGCATATTTCAGTCTTTCAGAAGACTCGGTGGAACAGGCTGGCCCATTTCTTTGTGATGGGAGTGCTCAAGGTAGGAGTCACCTGCTGGGGGAAGAAGGGCCATTTCTGGATGATGACAACACCTATACTGTATTTAGCACATTCCAAACATTTGCAAATTGTTTCAAACTTGGGATCTCCTTCAGCTTCTCACAACAGCTGTCTAAAGTAGACCAAAATTCACACTGCTTCCAACTAGAAGAGAAACCAAGTCCAGAGAAGAGTGGCTTGTTGAAGGCCCACTTGAGTGACTTTGTGGGTGTGATGAGATTTGTGCAACATAATGTTTTAGCTATGACACACTACTAGTCTAAATGCAGGAACAGGTGATACCTTTATTAGGATCATTAAGAAAAAAAAGAAAAAAAAGAAAAAACCAAAAAAGTGAACTTTTGATGATAATTCATCTTCCTCAGGCTGTGCATCAGCTTCTCATAGTATAATTGCTTCCATTAACAAATTGTGACATTTGTTTTGCATTGACAATGAGAGGAATATGTTGAGTACCTCACTTCAGAGCCCGCAGGTTACAAAAAAATAATTCATGCACCTGCCTTTTCAATATAACTCATCAATCTGCATTTCTAAAAGGCGATCATCATCTCATAGTTTGTATTGTACACATAATGTAGTTGTGTAAACCTTCTCAGTCCTGTGGCTTTCTTTCTAAACTCCTCTGAATGTGTGTTTTGAGGAGGGTCTTATGTGGGTGACAACTGGTTTTCCACATGTAGGATCTAAAATGTGACTGAACTACAACTCCCAGGCCAGAAAGAGACATTAGAGACATCCCATAATTAGAGCTGAAAGTGTCTTAACATTGCAGAGAGGTGGTTGAGGCAGTGTTTTCCTGTTTGTGAACTCAAACTTGAATAAAAGGCTCTGCCTGAATCCCAAAAACCTATCACCAAACAGAGCAAGCTAGTTTAGATAGTCCTGAAGAAGAAAGAAAATCATATTGTGACCCTGAGACGTTCATATTTTACATTTCTCCTTTACAGCCATGGCTATTTCTACAGCTTATTTGTGGCCCCAGATTCTTCCATCTGAGCACAACCGGTGAGGTCGCTTTTCTAGGTAACATCAAAATGCTGTTGAACTGCAGCTCCCAGCATTAGCTAGACTGGCAAGTGCAGACGGGAGCTGTAATCCATTTACATCTGAAGAGCTAGGCCATGAGTTACCCACCTCTGGTTTCTGAACTAGACTAAACTGGATCTCCTGGGGAGGGTACCCTCAGCTTTCCCAGTCATGCTGGCTTGCTGCTTAGCTCTTCAGAAGCTTCCGTTGTTCCATTACCTGGAGCCTTGAGATCTCTGTTCTTTTGTAATAGCCTTCATTGAACTGAAAGAGGCACATCCCTCTTCCTGCAAAGTGAAACAAAGGGGGAATTGTCAAGGGATGTCTCCTGCACAGAAATTGACTGACATCACAAAGAGAGCCTTAGGCTGGAAACTTGCCAAGTGTTTGATAGACATCATTGCTGATGATAACCCTATCTGTAAGAATAGGAGAGGGAACTATTAGAGAAGTGATGAGATCCTAAATGGGTCATTTCCTTTAGTCGTGTCCCACTCTTCGTGGCCCCATAGACCAGAGCACACCAGGCCCTCCTATCTTCCACTGCCTCCCGGAGTTGTGTCAAATTCATGTTGGTTGCTTCGATGACATTGTCCAACCATCTCATCCTCTGTCGTCCCCTTCTCCTCTTGCCTTCACACTTTCCCAACATCAAGGTCTTTTCCAAGGAGAATTCTCTTCCCATGAGATGGCCAAAGTACTGGAGCCTCAGCTTCAGGATCTGTCCTTCCAGTGAGCACTCAGGTTGGATTTCCTTTAGAATTGATAGGTTTGTTCTCCTTGCAGTCCAGGGGACTCTCAAGAGCCTCCTCCAGCACCATAATTCAAAGGCATCCGTTCTTCGGCGGTCAGCTTTCTTTATGGTCCAGCTCTCACTTCCATACATCACGACAGGAAAAACTGTAGCTTTGACTATTCGGACCTTTGTCGGCAAGGGGATGTCTCTGCTTTTTAAGATGCTGTCAAGGTTTGTCATCGCTTTCCTCCCAAGAAGCAGGCGTCTTTTAATTTCGGGGCTGCTGTCTCCATCTGCAGTGATCATGGATCCCAATAAAGTAACATCTGTCACTGCCTCCATATCTTCCCCTTCTATTTCCCAGGAGGTGATGGGACCAGTGGCCATGATCTTAGTTTTTTTGA